AAACCTGCCGTTTCTCTTCTTGTACTGAATGACATACAGATGGATTGCTCTGGTCATTCTACTTTGAGAATACAATTGTTTCTTTATGAGGGTATCTGTTGCTAAAAAAAAAAATCTTTGTACAGTTGTAATCAAGCATAAATCCTTCAATAACTGGGAGAAAGAAACGTTTATTGTGAAAAATGTTAATTGTTCATGCCAAATATAACTGCTGGATGTTAATCTCTTAAACACCTGTATACTTTAAGAAAAAATCACTATACATATTTTTAGCCTAAAACATTTGGAAATGATGAAACTAGGATGTTCAATATTTATTTGTGTTATATATCTGTTTACATTTGTAAGTCTGTAGCTACTCTTGTTGCCTTGCCAGACTAGCCCATATTTTGTTATTTATCAAATAATGAGAGAGAAATGTCTAAAATGAAAGAGCAATCTTAGAAATAATCTGTTTAAATTCAAAGCGATTTATATCTCAGATAATATGTAAAGGATCGCAATCTTAAAAGTGTAATAATCGTTTTTGTTTACAAATCATATGTTAACGAATTCATCTAAGATTCACAGCTTAACAAATGCAGAATTGCTGAACACTTTTGAAAAATGAAGAACAGATAACTTTTGCAGAATGAAAATATTTTATTTTCATTTTAAACGTGTTTTTAGCTATACAGCTGCCTCCATTAAATATTAGAAATATTTATATTAAATTTTTCATCTAGTATCTTAATAGCTTCCTCTATGGCCGTGATGGCGAACCTATGGCACGCGTGCCACAGGTGGCACGCAGAGCCATGTTGCCTGGCACGCACAGTGGTTCCCGGTCCTCTTCCGGATTTCTGGCGCACGCATGCGCACTGGCCAACTAGTCTTCTAGTTACTGGTGCGCATGCGCGTGCGACGATCAGCAGGACTTCACGCAGGCGGCTGTGTCAGAAACCAGAAGATCAGCTGGCTAGTTGATCGTCCCACACGCATGGTTGCCAGTAACCAGAAGACTAGGTGGCTGATGTGCATGCGCGAACCTGAAACCAGAAGTTTATTTCCCGGCACATGCATGCCCACTGGGCAGCTTCTCTTAGTACGCATGCTCACCGCCCATGCGATTGACAGTCGCTTCCTGGGATCCACATTGGAGGCCGTTCATGCCGGCAAGCCAGCTCTGCCTTTGCTCGAGGTTTGCCTTATTGGGGGGGGGGAGAAAGAGGGGAATGCTGTTTGCAGAGTCGGAGGCTCCTCCTCCTCCTGCCAGCTTCGCTGTTAATTTTGGGGTTTGCCTTGGGGGGGGGAAAGAAAGGTCCTAGTTCGGGGCAAATCCTCTTTGCAGATGCAGCAGCAGCTCCTCCTCCTCCTCCCCCTGCCAGCCTCGCTGTAAATCTCAGGGTTTGCCTTACTGGGGGGGGAAGAAGGGAGGGGCGAGAGAAAGGTGCTGGTGGGAGAGACGTCTGTGATGCTAGTGACTGCAGCCACGCTCCGGAAAAACTCCGTTGGAGCACCGATCAGCCGTGTGCAAGGTGGTGGCCAGAGCAAGAGAAGCAGAATGCCAGACGCTCAGCTCTGCAGACACAAGGAGCTGGGCCATGGGGCTTCCCTACATAAATTTGCCGGCGCCACTGCCTCTTTTCTGGCACAAATGGCCTTCTGCCGCTGGCTCTTTGCCGGCAAAGTTATGTAGGCAAGCAGACCATGCTGGAAATTGCCTGACCGGCTCCAATGGGGCTTCTCCAGAGTGTGGCTGGATTCACTGGCACCACGGACGTTCCCCCCCCCCCAATAAGGCAAACCCCGAGATTTACAGTGAGGCTGGCAGGGGAAGGAGGAGTTGTCATTGCCTTTGCAAAGAGGATTCCCCCACACAAGGACTTTTTCTTCCCCCCCACCCCCGTAAGAGGAACCCCAAGTTTTACAGCGAGGCTGGCAGAGGGAGGAGGAGGAGCCGCCGTTGCCCTTCTTCTCTGGGTTCTCCGCGTCCCAAGGAGACACACACACACACACACACGTGCTCAGCAGCCACTTCAGCTGCTGAGTACAGGGTTTGCTTGTGTCCCTGAGTCAACGCTGGGGAAGGAGCAGAAGTGTCTTTGTGTCTGTGTGTGTCTGTGTGTGTGTGTGTGTCTTCTTGGGACACGGAGAAGCCAGTTAGGTTTGGATCGTGGAATGCTGAAAAGTTAACCCTCGACTTTCTGCAGATCCCCTCCTACCCTCCCATCAGCGCCTGGATAGGGTTGCTGAAAGTAGAGGCGCCTGTACATTAAAGGGTGTTCACGTCTGAAAGCTACTCAGGAGAGATCAGGACCAGGGTGCTTATTTGCTGAATCGATTTTTTGGGTGGAGGGGGATGAGGGAAGGGGGAGAGAAAGAGAGAGTTAACTTTTCAGCACCCCCCCCATCCCGTGATCCAAACCCAACTGGCTTCTCCGCCCCACCTGAGCCATCTGTTGCAAGCCAAGGAGGATGCGGGGAGATGATCGTGTCCCTGTCTTGAAATCCCCTCTCAACTCCAGACAGGTTTTGCAGTTGTATCCCTGAGTCAACGCCGGGGAAGGAGCAGAAGTGTGTGTGTGTGTGTGTGTGTGTGCTTGGGACGTGGAGAAGCCAGTTAGGTTTGGATCATGGAATGCTGAAAAGTTAACCCTCGACTCTCCCTGGAGCCCCAAGGCATAGCAGCTGCCTGCTCCTTCCTCTCTGCCTCCCGCCCGCCCTCAGCCCCGTACCAAAGTTTGGGAAGCATGGGGAAGGTTTGTGCACTGCGCTCGGGGCATGAAATCAAGCCGCCGCTGTTGCCAGCAACATGGCGAGCAGGCCAGCTGGGTCAGAGGAGGCTGCCTGATGAGCTCTCTGCTCCTCCGGCAGCTCACTTCTTCCCTGGAGAAGGGATAGTGGCATACAGCACAAGTGCTCTCGGCCCCAACCGTGTGGGCAGCTTGCTTGGGCTCCTCCCTGCTGGAAGCCACAGGCTGCAGGGAGAAGGGCAAGAGCGACCAGCCGGCTCACGAGGCAGCATTTTCTGGCTGGGCGGCTGGCTGCCCCGCCCACTGCTCCTTCCCTGGTGTTGGCTCAGCTGGCGGTGCAGCAGCAGGTGTGACGGAGGTCGGGTGATGGGCCCAACCGCAGGCAGCGTAGTGGTGGGGGTCAGGTGGAGATGCCGCACTGAGCCAGGGAACGGCAGCTCCCAGCAGAAAGGAGCCCAGGCAAGCCGCACGTTCAGAGCTTCCCCAGCAGGGCACTTGGCCCCGCCATCTTGGCAGCGTCGAATGGCTGTCTCGCCATGGAACGGGCCGGTACTTATTTGTCCTCCGTTAAGAACACAGAGGGGGCATGTTCGGGGATGCGCATGCGCAGTGGGGGGGGCGCATGCGCAGGGGGAGGATGGGGGTGTGTCCTGTGCACGTGCAAATGGTGGACACGCATTGCATTATGGGTGCCGGCACGCGGGAGCGCGAGAGCGATCGCGCGCTCAGACTTTTGGCACGCAATGCCAAAAAGGTTCGCCATCACTGCTCTATGGAATAAATATTACTTTGAAACTATGTTGACATTATTTTATATATCAGTTATTTGATTCATTCTCCAAATCATATTGTCTTTTTCCATTTCAGCTAGAGTGCTGCATAAAATAGAGTATGTCAATTTCACATTCTGCTAGTTCTTTTCATTATGTTTGGAGATAAATGAAAGAGCTCATTCCTAAAATATTCTGCTGAGGAGCAGATATGTATAATCCTTCTCTGTGTACACTATGCCTTATCTATTTGCTGCTTGATTTTTAATTGGATTTCAAAAATGCAGATTATTGTGTCTTGGAGAGGAAGTAGAGCAGAGGAATGCATATTAGTTTCACTTCCTGCATATATGATCTTTAAATTGTTCCTTATCAGGAGTCAATTCAATAAGCTTCCTTAAAATTCTCTTAATCTATGTGTTGAGAGATCTTTCACAACATTAAATCTCTCCATAAATATATAATAATATATAATTATAAATATAATAATTAATAAACAGTAAATATAGTAAATATATAATTAATAAACTTTTAAAAGAAACTTATTTAATCAAATTGTAGGCATTAAAAGGCATTCTTTAACTATTTTATGCTTATCAGTTTCATTGGTTAAAAAAAATTATTTCGTAAATCTTATTTTTAATACTTTACATAACTATAATAGTTCTAGAAGAATTGTTTATTTGGCTTTTTCTACAAACGATATTTTTATATTAAGGATTATTACACATGTTCTTAAGTATCTACATTCTGTTTTGTTTTAAACCAATATACATTTTACTAAGCTCTAGAATTCTTAGTCTCTTAAATTCCTAATTTCTTAGCTGAATTTTCTGAATTCATGGCTATCATATTCATTGCTCTTATATCCAGGAATTTTGCCCCAGTTTTGCACCTATATTGCAGTCATCACAATATTTGCCTCAAATTTATTTATTTGTATGCCATTAAGAAAATTTCAGATTTTCATTAAGATTATGGTTATAAACCATAATCATAATAATTCAATAAAATAAAAATTGTAACAATTAAAATATAAACAATAATATAAATAAACTACATGGAGCAAAAAGAAGATATTCTGGTTAAACGTAATATGCCCTTTACCTTTTACCTATTTACAGATGTCTTATAGGGTTTTAATACTAAAATGTATTTATTGAGAAGACCTGAGGAACACAATATTAGGCTCCAGATTTTACCTTTTTGCAAAGGATAATGTGACGGTCAGATCTCACAAATGTGTGTTGACTTTTCTGCATAGTGAAAGCTTTGGCTGCCTCACATTCTTTTCACATGGAGTCACCTGCTTGTGTACAACAGCCTTCTAAAAGTTGGGTTGATAGAACAATCCGCTGAACCTCTCTAATGCATTAGGATGCAGTCTAGCCATTGGAAAAGTGAATGTACAATGGAAGCTGTATTTGGCTAGCACGTAGTGACTCAGGATTTTAAACTGAAAAGACTCCTTTTTCCATATTTTATCTTTTTGCAGGGTCACATAGGGAAAAAAAGAACTATAAGGTGACTTTTTCTCACGAAGAACTGAAAAAGCGACTGACACCCTTGCAATACCATGTTACTCAGGAGAAAGGAACTGAAAGGTATAGCAAGGGGGTAGATGGTAATAAAAAATGGGGATTCTCCTTCTCTTTCATTATGTTGTAATTTTCTCTCAAGTGGTTTCAAGTAATTCTGTTTTAGAAAGCCAACAATTTGTAGCATGGACACTAAGTTCAGCAATTTGATCAATGTAACTTGGTTATTGTGACTTTATATTTATTTTACTTTACTACAACATTTGTTCAAATAGCACAGGTCATTTTTTGTTTTAGGGAAGGAGATTTGAATTATAGTGGAAATAACCTTTAAGGCAATATTTTTGAAGTGGTCATTATAAATATCAAAGAGAAAAGAGAATGTGGCATAATTTTATTTTTTCCATTCTGTTTTTTTTGTTAGTTTGTTTCTTTTCTTCGAAACTTCTGGATAGAAAATATTAATTGTGTCCTTAAACAGCTTTTATATTCTGACAAGAGGGTAAAGTGAAAGAAAAAAGACAGATGGTTCTTTTTCAAGGATCAAATAATGAATGTAGTTTGTTCCGTTTGATTCATGAAAAATAGATATCTCTGCTAAAATGGTTTTGAATTTTTTTTTTATTCAGTGAGCTTAATAATATGCTTAAATATTTAATTTACAATTAATTCATAATATTCTATTTTTAATTAGACTTGCTGAATGAAGATCTCTGGGTGCTAAAGCTTCCTATGCCTCTAGACATGGACTGTTGATCATGCACTTTCCATGACGTCAGCCAGATCATTTTCTGTTGTGTAGCACAGTGATGTAGTACATGCAAACAATAAGATATTTGGTCACTTAAAAATAATTGTATAAAAAGGCACCCCATAAAAAGAATTGAAAGGATAATAAAAGCAAGCTGTAGAGCACTTAGATTTCTTGTTAGAGGAACACAGCTGATTTTTATTAAAACAATAACCTCCTAGCCCTTTAAATGGTTAACTTAGAAAAGTATTCTTAAAGCAGTAATGTTGTTTTTGAATTTAAAAATTCCTGACTTTCACCCAGCTTGGAATTCAGCTTCCCTCTCTCCCAGGCGATCATCATCCAACATTAAAATTTATTCTTTTGGTAGTATTATTACACACTGTCTTCCACTTGGATCTTACGCTACTGTATTATTTGATAAGGTATCAGATAAATATCAAAGCATGAAAATCTAATGATAAGAATAAATGGTTAATTCTTCTCTTTCTTTTTCTAGCTATAATTATGATGTATAATGGTATTTTCTCTAAAGCCTTAGTGAGTTACCTGACCTAAGAAAGTTTCATCTGTGCTAGCCACATGCAATTTTTAAAATTCCATTTTTAAATTATCTTTTATTTTTATGTTTTGTAAATCTGGTTAATGATCAAAATAAAATATTTTTACTTTGGTTTAACATAAGGTAAATAAAGTATGTTTTCTAAAATGTTAATAGGATTTTAAAAAACAAATTTGCAGTGGAAATTTAAAAACTTAATTGAAAATGTGTGGAAGAAAAGTTTTTTTCATCCAGGAAGCATGTATGTTTATACTTTAAAGCACAAGCTTATAGTGAATGAAAAGAAATCTCATCCTCAAAGGTTCAGACATAAAACAGTAAAGGGAAATTTATATCTCAGCTGTCAAATCTTATCTATAAATCTAGTAGTAGGTAGAGACAACCAGAGGTTCAGAAAAATCAAGCTCTAAAGAGCCAATTGGGAATAGAAAGATTTCAGATGGGTAATTTCATTTTGTCTGTCTTCAGTGTATTTTTTCCCCTTACAGGTAGAAGAATTGGAGCCAGGAAAGCAGAAATTTCAATCCCCAGAAATTTTAAGAGTGGAGATCCAGGAGAAATTGTAGCAGTCTAGGGCAGGGGTGTCAAAATTGCATTATCACGGCAGCGTCACATGACATATCAGGACTTCCCCCCCCCCTTTGCTAAACCGGGCAGGGCCAGCATGTGACGCATCTAGCCTGCGTGCCGCAAGTTTGACACCTCTGGTCTAGGAGATAGTAGCACTAAATCTGTATTAGCATTTTTTTTAAAAAAATAAAAATTAGGAAAATAATTTGTGATCAGTGTCTATACAATTTATTCTGCTTATAAATCCGAAAGTTATTTCTATATTGGAAGCAACTTCTGAGATTAAATTTGCAGAGTTATGGTTAAACTTCTCAGAATCTGCAATAACTATAAAACACATTTCTTTATAGATAGTCTTTAATTTATGACTGGTCACTTAACAACCATGCAACGGCCTGGAATGGATGCTTCATGGCTTGTATGGCACTTCTGGCCATCATAAAATATAATGCCACACCTACTTCTCACAGTCATGTGACTGCATTCCAGAGCTTGTGAACCATCTCATCTTTATAGTTATAACCTGCAGCCATGAGATGTTTTCTGCTGGTTTTTGGCATTTTTTGCTGGTTTCTGCAAAAATTGCCCATTTAGAAGAATGTGTTTGCTCTTATGGTGACAGGTTCCCTTAATGACCATGATGATTTCACTTAATGACTGCTGCAAAAAATATCATAAAATTGTGTCCATGGTTATCAGTGCCTCAGCTTAACTACCATAACAATTTATGAGTAGACATTCAGTGCCAATAGCAGTTGAAAGCCAAGAACTCTCTGTAGTTGATTATTTCTTATCTCTTTCATTTTGCATAAAGTTGCCTCGCCCAAAAGAAAATTGAGTTTTGAGTTTGTAAGTATGCATGCTAAATAATTATTTCTATCTTGTGCTCTAGTGCCTTTGAAGGAGAATATACATATAATAAAGCCATTGGAATATACAAATGTGTTGTTTGTGGAAGTCCTTTATTCAAGTAAGTAGATGCAAATGTGCAGTTTGTGACATCTGACTAGTTTGGGAAAACATTACTCTTTGATTGTAGTTACTAGACAGAAGTGGGTAGATGTAAACTGTTCTTTTAAGCACTATTGGCTTAGAATTCTGGGTGCTTTGGTCAAGGGCAGAAACTATCAGAGATAGGGAGTCCCTCAAATAACTTGATCTATGCCTTGAAACTTTTTAACATTAGTAACCTACTTTTTAATTAGAGTTGAGTATACGGAGTACAGACTTTAGTTGTAGTTACAATTAAACTAAATGTATCAAATCTGATGGCTTGATCAGTGATGAAGTAGTTAAGGTCCAAATTGTGTACTCAATGGTGGACAATGTTTTTGCTTACATGATTGAAAAAGGCCTATTCAAAATTGGCCTTCCTCACTTTTTAAAGCAGCATTCAACTTCATCTCTCTGACATTGTTATGGAGAAATCTTTCAGATACATAAATTGACAAACAACCTTTCTTAATCCAACAGTTGTCTTCAGACATTTAACTCAGGATGAGATGTAACACTCAGAAAATGTTCTCGAATACTGTGTGCATTGAGAGTGTGATGGGACAGATTTATTCAACCTCTATAATTGAATTCCTAGACTCACCAGATTTCCACGCACCTAAGACTGTGGGTAGCAATATATGATTCTGTTTGGGCAACATAATAATTATTTCCTGCATGCATGTTGTGCTAAAACTTGTAATGTGGATCATTGTCTATTACTGCACTCTAAACAGTCTGGACATAAAATTACCAGGAATCTAAAATTATATTTTTTGCCAAGTACAGTATACTTTGGTACAAGGAATACAAACTAGAAGGAGAGGGTGCAATATGCAATATATATGAGGTTACTAGTATATTATGTTCTATGTTTATTAATCATTTTGATATGGGAAGATGGGAAAGAATGAGAGGGAGCACCAATATCAGCGGTGGGCAGGGATTCTCTTATAGCCTAATTTATCTCACAATTGAGAGTTGCAATTGTGATGAAAAAATGAAGGGAGATAGCCAGTGGTGGGCTGCTGCAGGTTCAGACCAGTTCAAGCGAACTGCTAGTTCTGACAATCAGCTGACCCTGCCCCCGCTCTATCCTGTCCTATATTTCCTTTTTTCTGGCTCAGCTGATTCGCACAGCACAGCTGATTTCTGCACCTCCGCTGTTCTACTTACCAGGGCTGCCATAGAAGGTAAGCAGCTGAGCTTCAAATTGCTGTATTTTGAATGCTGCGCGCATGCATGAGCTTACAGAACCAGTTGTTAAATCGCTTGCAGCCCACCACTGGACATAGCTAGCATTGCATCCTTGGAGGAAAGGGATCATAGAAATCCCAACAAATACATAATAATTGAACCCTGCCGCTAAAGACATCATTTTGTGCATTATTCATAAAATAATATTCATATCCCTTTATAATAGATGAGTTAGAAGATAGTTTATTTTTGTTCCTTTGCCATTAACTAATTTACTGCATTTTTGTAATTGGGTGTTTTAAAACAAAATAAGTAACAATAGTTAATTCGTTCTCGATCTAGAACCAGATTCTAAATGCCTTTTCTAATCTGCTTGTCATATTCCATATTTGCTTTGAATTCATTTTTATATTTAAAATGCACCGCTTTCATGTTAATGTGTATATTACATTTCTAGCAACATGGTAACACTACCAGGCCTTCAACCGAGAAGGGCATTCAGTTGTCATGGATATTGATTTTGTATTACTATATTCCTGTTATTTAGGATTATTAAAATGTGTTACTAGTTGAATGTTTGCTATTTGTGAATTGTGGAATATACTGAAATTTCTCTGGAAATGTCATGGAAAAAAACAACATGTTCTGGTTAGGTTGAAATGATGATTATTTATAGAATTTTAGCTTTTTATAATTATGTTTTTCTATATAATCACATCAAATATGTATATATAGATTGAAAGATTCTGCCATTTCCTGGGGACTTTGATGGCATTTCGTTTGAAAATACTCATTCTAAAGTAACATGCTCTTTATAGTTAGAAGCTTTAACTATAAAACGATAATTTTTTTCTTCTCTTCTGTCCCATATACAGGCATACTCCAATGGTTTTTATTTTGTGATATAAATCTGGCTGGAGCATGCCCACTAATTGGTTTGAGAATTAGATCTAGACAATGCTTCTTACAGCTTGTTCAGATAGGCCTTGCCATTCGGTTAGTTCTGCTTCGCAGCACTTCAGGAGCATCTTGAAAGTAATTGCCCAACTTACATTTTTCCATAGCTGATCTGACAACTTCAAAGGCATTTGAATTTAGGACTGTTATTAATCTATATCTGAAATATTCTTCGAAAGGCTAGTTTTACCTCTTTCTCCTTCTTCCTCACTATTAGAGTATAGTATAGTTTATTGAATAGCCCGAAAGCCTTTTCAAACAAAACAGAAAAGAAAAAGGGAAAAAGATAAAACAGTTACAAAAATAGCAATCTAAAAATATATGATAGATGATATTAAAATTTTACAATATCAAATTTCAATAGCTAAGTTGCCAAGACTGGATAACCCAAATAGGATAGCTCCTCTCTAACTGAGCTCATCTTCCTTACAATCGATAAAAATTTTTTTGATATAACTGGCTCATTTTGCCGTCATTCTTTTAAGGTATCGAGTGATCGCACTTATATTATATATTTTTGGTCACACACACACGCATTTATTTTCAGTAAAAAAAATCACAAGTAGGCTGATATTTTATCTGATAGGAAATAAACTTTTTTTCAGAATGGGCTTGATTAAAGAAATTAAATAAAATAACTATCAAATGATGATCTCCAAGGGAACCCTTATTACAAGTATAATAGTACAGTTTTAAAATATGCTATTTGTAATTTTGACATTGGATTTTTCACTTGGGTGTTTCTTGCTGCTTTTACCAATCTTGTAAATGAAAATATTTGTCAATATTTCTAGAATGAAAATAAAGATATATTTGTGTCAAGTGTATTAACAAAAGATTCCATGGCTGTTGTTTGAGATTTATTGTAAGAGGGTTTTTTTAGCTAAAAAGCTTTTTATAGTTACAGACTGTAGAAATCATGTCTTTGTTTTGTTTTGTTTTAGATCTGAAACAAAGTTTGACTCTAATTCAGGTATGTTCAAAATCTTATGTAGAACATGCTGTTTTCATGTTCCAAAAGATGAATTTATCAGTTAATGTTTAGTCTTAACTTTAGATCTGGAGTACCCAATTTTAAACCAATATCAAGTTTCAGGATGCTGCAATAGATTTAATGTGAGTGGATTTTTTTTTGTTAGTTCCATAACCAAATCATTATTTAATTTTATGCTTTTATATTATATGACTCTGGGGAAACCATGTCAGTTCTTCATCAACTTTTGAGTGATATGAGGCTGAGACAAGTGAAGAGAGAGAGAGGGAGGGAGGGAGAGAGAGGGGGGGCTTCAGGTTATAGCAATTAGGACAGGGATTGCCATTGCTAAGTGATGCAGTTGTAAAGTACAGTGTCACATGATTGCATCACTTAGCAACAGCAATGTAGGCAGTTCTGGTTGCTGTTGTAATCCCAAAATGTGCATGCTGTTTATTTATTTATTTATTAGATTTTTATCTCACCTTTATTATTTAACTAGTTTCTGTTATTAAACTGAAGATTATAACATTTTTATTTAAAAAATTGCCTTGTGACCCGTCATTACCCACAAAAGCATTCTTTAAAAAAAATTAAAAAAATAGAAGTGGGTGGTTGCAACCCTGCCTATGGGTGAACAAATGTACCTATTTTTGGTCATCATAAATTAGGGTCTTATAAGTGGCCATACCTATCAAGACCAAAAGGTGCCCATTACTATTTTATAGTGAAAAAACACTATAGTATCCACATTAGACAAATCAGTGCTATTTGGTCTTCTGAGTTTCTATGAGAGCTGATAATGATGGAGAGAAGAGCTGCAGAGTGGATTCCTTCCATCTGGCCCATTTTTTATGAGCTGCAAGATAGACAATATATTTTGGGTTTTTACAAAGCCAAAGCTTTATCATATGTTGTCCAAAAGCATTTCTGGTGAGAATGGCAATGGTTGTTCTATTTTTATTGTATAGTATCGGAGTTCTATATCATTTTAATTGAAAATTTTCGTATTGAATGAAGTGTGTGTAAATAACTGTTTCAGCATTCTAGAAGAAGTGCTTTTCTTTTCCCCTTAACTAATCCTTTGCAGAAAGGAAATCTCAGTGCTAATTATTATTATTTAGTGTAGATGAGAAAATGACAGAAAAGAAGTAAACATATATAAACTGTCCATATATAGAATCTCTAAGGGGGTGTGGCAGTGGCCTCATACCTGGATGTCCAATTCAGCTTTCCAGGCAATTTCCTGGGGCGTAGCTTCGTGCAGATCTTCTAGGAAACCAGAGAACACATGTTATGGGCAATCTTGCACAATATGTTTAATAGTTTGCATATCAGGACCACAATCACAACAAGGGGAATCTTTCCATCCCCACTGATACAGGGCAGGGGGTCTTCTTCCAGTATCACACCTAATTCTGTTCAATTTCGACCAGACAGAGCGATGCAGGTCAAAACCAGGTGACTTGGTAGAGGAATCACTAATGATCAGGACACAAGAAGGCACCTTAGACCGCAGGTGTCAAACTCGATTGCGTCACGTAATGTATCGCAACGGTTTCTGCCTTTGCTGAGCCAGGGTTCGCGTGGGCTGCGTGTGACACATCCAGCACGCGGGCCACCAGTTTGACACCCCTGCCTTAGACCATTCCTCTCTCCAGGCATTCTCAGGGTTAAAGGGGCAGATGTTAAGTAAATAGCTGTTTTCCATGCTGGCCTATGGGATTTCAATCTTGTGATGGACTGAGTGTTGTCTGGGTGAATAGGGAGGGTCTTGTTCAGCATCTTTGACCATAACCAAATGAGAGTTTGTTGTCTTCTAATGAGGGGTAGTACAATATTGCTAAGTACTGGGAACACAAGTGGGATGCAATGTGCCAGAAATGATAGGCATTGGACTGTTGGAGTTGGACATGAACTATTAAGCAACACACTGGCATGATATTTAGCTGTGGAATAAACCAAAGACAAAGCTATTGTTCATAGGATATTATTATCAGCACCCCAGTATGTTCCAGCCAATCTGTTCAGTAACTTGTTGCAGCTAGTCAATTTTATAGCTATTTTTTCCAGGTGTTGTCAGAAGATTAGTGATCTGTCCACAGGGCCGGATTTAGATTGAAAGAGGCCCTAGGCTATTCCACTTATGAGGCCCTTTCACCAGTGGTGGGATTCAATATTTAACAACAGGTTCTGTGGGCGTGGCTTAGTTGGGGGTGTGGCTTGGCAATCATGTGACTGGGTGGGCGTGGCTAGCTGGTCACGTGACTGTGTGGGCATGGCTAGCTGGTCATGTGACCGGGTGGGCGTGGCTATGTGCATAGACTTTTTTCAGAGGGCTGAAAAAAGTAATTTCTGACTGGGCCTCGCACTTTTGACCGGTCCTCACACTTATGACCATCCTCACATTTATGCCCGTGCAGCTTTCTTAACAACCATGTCACTCATTTCACAACTGCTTCTCTTCACCATGGTGACAAGATAGGGCAAAAACGTAAAATGTGAGGACAGTCGTAAGTTCGAGGACTGGTCAAAAGTGCGAGGACCAGTCAGAAATAACTTTTTCAGCTCTCTGAGTAGTCCATATGCACAAAAGGACTACCCAGAGGGCTGAAAAAAGTCATTTCTGACTGGGCCTCGCACTTTTGACCGGTCCTCACACTTATGACCATCCTCACATTTATGCCCGTGCAGTTTTCTTAACAACCATGTCACTCATTTCACAACTGCTTTTCTTCACCATGGTGACAAGATAGGGCAAAAACGTAAAATGTGAGGACAGTCGTAAGTTCGAGGACTGGTCAAAAGTGCAAGGACCAGTCAGAAATAACTTTTTTCAGCCCTCTGAGTAGTCCATATGCATAAAAGGATACAGCAATAGAGAGGGATGAAGGAAGGGAAGGGAAATTAGAGTAGGAGAGAGAGGGAGGAAGAGAGGAGGAGAAGGAGAAAGGAAGAGGAAGTAGGGAGGAGAAGAAGAGGGGGAGGAAGAGAAAGTAAGAAGGAAAGAAAAGAAAGGTGGTAGGTTTGAGGAGAAAGATTGCTATACAATAAAAAAGATGAAAGGGAAGAAAGCCAACCCCAAACAAATATAAAGATATTAAGATAAAGAATGAATTGTTAAACTTTAAAGAATAAAAGAGAACAAATATGAATAAATAACAATAATTAGAAACACACATACAAACATACAATCTATTTTCTTTGAACAGAGTATTTGGCCGGTTCACAAATTTAAACAGTGTTTAGTCATTTCAATTAAATTTACAATTTCTATATTTCCTTTTTGCCATATTTATTCCTCATCTATTTTTGTAAAAAACCAATATTACCCTCATCCTCATCTCTAATCTTAATCAAATTCAATTTTTCCCTTCTATTCTATATTATACCCCTTCCCATTGTCATCTATTTTTATATCCATTCTCACATTGGTTAATTATGTAATATTAGTTGTTTAATATAAATTCAACATTTTAATATAAATCAATTAGTTATATAACTACCTTTTTTGTATATTAATCAATATGAACATGAATATTCCAATTATTTCCATGCAATCCAATTTCTTACAAATCCATTAATTATATTTACCAATAATAATAAACCAAATAATTTCCCCCATATATTCCTCCAAACCACAATTTAACCATTTCTGCTTTCAGAAATATACAATTAATAGTATCTCAATTATTACAATTCCCTAGTTAAATACAGCTTTTTTTTCTTTTGTGTTTTAAAATCCTGAACTCTTCTCTTTTTCCCTAAATTTCCCATTGTTTGCACGTACCTTTTTTGGTGAGGAAAAAGAAAAGAATTCTGCCTGCCTAATTTTCCAACCTTGCAGCAACAGCAAAGCAGTTTCACTTTCGTTTCTCAGTATAGCTAGGGGGAAAAAAATCAGCACTCTTTGGAAGGAAGCAAAACAGCGGAGACAAATCAGCTGAGAGCCGGGAGGCCAATTAGCCTATGCTGAAGCTCCGGGGGCCAATAACATTACAAAAAAAAAACCCGAATCCTTTGTTAAATTGTTGGCTCCCCCGCCCCTCGCCCACCACTATTTATTGGCAATAAATAGTGGTGCGGAGGGGCGGGGGAGCCAGCAATTTAACAAAGGGTTCGGCCGAGCCACCTAGAACCCCCAGAATCCCACACTGTGTAGGCCCCTCTGGATCTTGAGGCCCTAGGCTGAAGCCTAGTTAGCCTATAGGAAAATCCGGCCCTGTCTGTCCAGTATTACCCCCAGGTACTTTGGAGTTATTACATTGTAAAATACAGTTCTGGAACTACACTGAAGGCTGGTAATTTGCATACTTATTGCTGAGTGGAATGTGGCTACTTCTGTTTTTGTGTTAGGCTTGTTTGGAGGCACCATTTTTTGATGTAGTCATCCAGCTTCTGGAGATCTTGAAAGAGGATGCCCTCTGCATTATCTCAGTGCTGTTTTGTGAACATAATATGATTAACAACAATACAGGTTTATTTTCTTATAATGAAAGCATAACCTAGCATGATTATTTATTAATTCTTCAGTTTGTTAATTTTAACCATGAAATCTGGAAACATAGTACTAAAATAATGAGAAAAATATAGTCTTCTCAAACTGAATTGAACCTGAAAATCTGACTTCGAAGTAAAAACAACCATCAATAGTTATCATGCAAAGATATAACAAATAGCTGGTTATCATGTTTACTTTTGTAGCAGAGACATACATCTTTTGCTGAAAGAAGTTGCATATTGATATTTTTATGTGGAAAAAATATTTTCTGCTTTTAAAGTTTTTAGATGTTTGTATAATAAATGTGCATCTTAATAATATGAATCGCGTGGTAAAAAGTTGAATTAATTGGTATTCCATGAAGATCTGACACAGGGAAAAGTCTAATGTCTTCTGGGGGGCGGGGGGGGGGGGAATTGAATTACTGTAAGTATACAATGAATCATTGTTGGCTAGCAGGAATTGTACTAATGAAATCTTATTTAGAATACAATGTTCC